AAGATAAATAATTGAGTATCTAGTCACGGATCTACAACACGTAGTCCGGACAATATCCTGATACCTTAATACAACTCTAAAACCAAAAGCATAAGGTCAAGTCAATGTGGCATAGACAATCCCCATGCTCACCAAATAAACAACATAATCAACAGAGTCTCAGCTCAAATAACCAAAACATGAAACTAATAGCATAGCAGCAACAAGCATAATCAAGCATCCAAACATAATCAGCATAAGCAGAAATACATCAATCAACTAAGCTCCGGCCTCTTTCCGCTAGAGGTCTCAACCCCTGTGTTACCTGAACCTGAAATAAGCGCCCCAAACGTGGAGTGCGATCTCTAAACAGAAATCTTAGTAAGACGAGGGGTCCTCAAAGATCTTCCACCCCAAGCTCACTTACATGTGCAATATAAGTTCAAAAGCAGGTATATGATATAAGTTCCAAAGTCAGTGTAATACAACAGATAACCATGTTATGCGTGTCAAGATATTCTACTGGCCAGAGAAATGCAGGATATACATCTATTTCCTACAATTAGTGCAAGACGTCACTTACACCCACCCACAAAATCACCATATTATATGACGCCACATACTCAGGTTTTCCGTCTAGATGGAACAACACATGCATGTTATAAGGCCCTTACACTTAACAATTTAAAAGCATTCCAATCATCAAAGCATGAAAACACATCATGCATATAAACAATTCCCCCATGGGGTATGGTGGAACCAACAATGGCTAAATCGAGGACACGAAAGCTTACCTTGCAAGCTAACTATCCAAGCCAAGAGTCCACACAAGCTCAAAGTCCACACACAACAGAATCACAATATGTTTTGGACCAGCAATCATATCAATATTCAAACATACAAGCATATGACATAAAAACAACGTATTTCCTTTACGTTTCATGTCTTTAGGCTTCTCACAAAGCCACAAGCCCTTAATCACTTTGATTCTGACTTAGATTATTTAATACAGAAGTTCAACTTAATCAATCTAGGGTCCACAAACCCCAAACAAAGTTATGTATGAATAGTACAGACACTATCTCGAAATTCTCAAAATATCTGGATATTTATCGGGGACATGTCCGGATAACCCATATCCGAATATTATATCCGGATATCCATATTCAGATATCCATATGCGGATATCACAAGGCCCCATATCTGGATACTAGTATCCGGATATCATATCCAGATATCAATATTTGGATATCATTTCTGGATATTTCGCGACAGAATGCAGTTCTGCATTTTTGCGAAGATATCACTTAAAGGTTCAACTTTTACCATTATCATTTGTCCAAGACTCCATCTTTAGGCATATACAGGTTCATATACGTGTTGGTTACTTGTTTAGCTCATTAAACATGTCAAGACTCTACTTTTACCCATTAAAACTCATGATCAAAGGTTGAACAACCTGCCCAAGCTTAAAACAGAAATGGATGATGCTCTTGGAGCTAACTCGAACCTTCCAAAGTTCTGACTTCTCAAGAAAACGAAATGGACCACAAGGCAAGGTCCTTTATCACTCGAAATGGCTTCTTGAAGCCACCCAAGCAAGGAACAATGGTTCCTTCCCCACAAGCAGTGAAGTCAGCCCTCAAGACACCCAAGGACAGCACTACCAACTCAGAAAATAGCTGACCTCTACCTCACCATACACTCCACTAGGTGTTTACAAGGTTTAAAGAGAAGAATCCAAGGTAAAAGAGGTGACTTGGGATAGTTTTCATGGAAGAAAGCCAAAGGAAGAAGGTGGCAGCTGCTCACATTCAGAGGGCTCACGTAGAAGGCTGAAGATCAGCCCAGGGTTGTGTGCAACCCTCTATTTATAGGCGGTTTAAACTTAATCGCACTGTATTAGCGCTAGTTTCTACGCTTAGTATTTTAGTCCCAAACTTTGGAATCTGAACCTACTCATTTTTCTAAGATTTATCATATTTTTATTTTATTTTTCGCAGCACCTTTTTGGTACGCGCTTTTCCATAGCCAGTATCAGTTCTGGCACCAGTTCTCATTATTTTGACTTGAAACTTGTTTTACAAGTCCTATATATTATTCTAGGAATATTCCCACACTTACTATAATTTTCCGGGATATTTTATCGATACGCATTTATACCGAGTAACAAAACCGGTATCTGCACTTTTCGTCCGAAAAACGACTTTCAGCATTATTAATCATTTACCATATTTATTTAAGCCTTAACATAATTATTAGGGTCAATTATGGAATTATTTCCTAATTCTCATATTTAATTAATTAATTTCTTTAATTAACGGTGCGGGTTCTTACATTTCTCTATTTAAAAATATGGTTGATACCAGAAGCAAATCCCAAAATGGCTCCAAAGGAAAGCGGAAGGAGACTTCTGCCTCTAGTAAAAAATTAGCCTCATCGGTGGCACCACTTTCCATCCATCAAGATAACCCACCGACGAACCAGCACTTGCGGGACCTTATCACGCAGCAAAATAAAAAGATTGCTCAACAGAATCGAGATTTAGCTCGATTGAAAAAAGCACAAAAGGAAAAAGAAAGAAATCAAGGAAAAGAAAAAGAAAAAGAGCCCGAGAAAGAGAAAAATCTTGAAAATTCCGGTGAAAGTGAGCCGATGCAGGAACATTCAACGGGAGATCCTGGACCTTCGGGTCACAAAAACAAAAAAGGTGAAGAAATGAAAGACACTAACGAGAATGAAAATTCTCACGGGAATTCTAAGACAGTTTCTCGAATTTTTCATCCATTTACCCCGTGTATCATGAACGTTCGTATTCCTAGAGACGTAAAAATTACAATGGAGAAGTACACCAAGAAGGGAGATCCCCAAGAACATCTGGAGCAATTCCAAACAAACATGATGGCCCAAGATGTAGCTGACTCAATAGCATGTCGGTTATTTCCAACAACCCTGAAAGAGGTAGCGCTTAGGTGGTACTCCGCGTTACCACTCAATTCAGTCCAAAGTTGGGAAGACTTAACCAATCAATTTCTTATACGGTTTGCAACAAGCAAGGCGCAGTATAAATCCACTCATGCGCGATTACCTCAACAGATTCTTAGATGAAGCACTCCTAGTTAGAGACTTGGACCCACAAGTCTCCCTTCATCTCATTATTGAAGGACTGCTAGAAGGCCCTTTCTCTATGTCGTTAGCCAAACAACGACCACGTACCTTTGTAGAATTGCACATGCGATCAGAAAAATTTATTAATCTTGAAGATTATAAGCGGTCATGTGAAACTTCCAATATCAAATCAGACATAAATAATTTTGAACGCGATGTCCAAAAGAATGTTCAACGAAAGTTCTGTGAAAAGAGAAAATGGGAAAGATATGACAATTATACTCCTTTGAACACATCCCAAAGACGGATTTTCAAAGAAGTACTCCAAACGGGTTATGTGCGCGTTAACAAACCTTCCCCAATGAAAAAAAGAGTGCAACGCGATGAAACCAAATTTTGCGAGTTTCACAACGATACAGGGCATACTACTGATGAGTGTTTTGATTTTAAAAATTACTATTTAAACACTTATAAGAGCTGGAAAGCTCCAAGAGTTTATTTCCAATTGCAGAGAATATAAGGCACAGAGAAGACACGATAGAAGTCCAGATCGCGACCAAAATCATAATCGACAAAGGGCGTACCCCAGGAGGGATTACAATCCTGATCGAAATAATGATCGTAGGAACGCGCGGGACGATCCTACTGATAGACGCCAGAGAACTCCCCCATGCAATAGGTAGCATGCCGCACAACTGCAACAGTTCCAGCTACCTAATAATGCGGCATGAGTGTTAGCTACCATTGCTGGCGGAACGGCAGGAGAAGGCGCGACCAGCTCCCAACGCAAAAAACATCTAAAGTCCGTAACGACAGTGCGCGATTATGCACGCCTATCCACATCTCGTGGTACGAGGCCAGCCATAAGTTTTGATGACGATGACTATGACGACGTCATCCCTGACAATGATGACCCACTAGTAATCTCAGCTTGCATGACTAATCTTCAGGTAAAGCGTATTATGATTGATAATGTCAGTTCTGCCGATATTATTTTCTGGGATGCCTTCCGCGCGATGAACATCCCGGAAGAACATCTAATCCCTGGATGTTCGGATTTAATTGGTTTTTCTGGAGAATGTGCACAACCCAAAGGTACTATAGAAATATGGGTAACCTTTGGAATCATGTCTTTGGCCCGTACCATCAAAGTACGATTTTATGTCATAGAATATGCATCTGCGTATAATATTTTCTTAGGAAGACCAACCATTGCCGCATTAAAGGCAATCATTTCTATGCCTCATCTTTTGATGAAATTCTGCGATTCCTCTGGCGCGATAGTTACAATTAGGGTTGACCAAAAGGCAGCGCGTAGCTGTTACAATACCAGCCTACGAGCAAAAACTATAACCAAGCGTGAAGGTAAAGGAAAAGCATCGATCAATATGACTGATCTGGACATGCGTGAAGATCTACGCGATACACGCCCCCAACCTGACGGGGAATTAGAAAGTCTCCAACTTCGACCGTTGCCCGAAAACGTTACTAAGATTGGACGACATCTACCAGAAGTGGAAAAAAATGCATTGGTGGCGGTTCTACTAAAAAATAAAGACCTTTTTGCATGGACAGCAGCTGACATGCCAGGAATAGACCCTGACGTAATCTGCCACCATTTGACCTTGTACCAAAAGGCTAAACCCATCGCGCAGAAGAAGCACAAAATATCCCCAGAAAAACAATAGGTGGTCGAAACTGAAGTAACAAAACTGCTCGAAGTAGGAGTGATTGGAGAAATCACTTATTCTACCTGGCTTTCTAACGTCGTATTGGTCAAAAAAGCTAAAGAGAAATGGCGCATGTGTACTGATTACACAGACCTAAATAAATTTTTCCCAAAGGATTTTTATCCCCTTCCCACCATTGACAAATTGGTAGATAACTCTGCGGGATATCAAATTTTATCCTTTATGGATGCCTATTCAGGGTACAACCAGATTCCCATGTTTAAACTTGACGAGGAGGCCACAGCCTTTATTACACAAAAGGTCACTTATTGTTATAATATGATGTCGTTTGGCTTTAAGAACGCTGGAGCCACGTACCAACGTATGATGAATAAAATCTTCAGCCAACAGATTGGCCAAATGCTTGAGATATACATTGATGATATGATCGTCAAAACAATGACTACCTCACAACACCTTCAAGATTTAGAGCAGGTATTTCAACGAATTCGTAAATTTAGATTACGGCTTAACCCATCCAAATGCGTGTCTGGAGTTCCTGCAGGAAAGTTCCTACGATTTATGCTAACACATCGAGGTATAGAGGCTATCCTTGATGAATGCAAGGTTGTCCTCAATATGACAAGCACACACAATATAAAAGAGTTGCAGCAATTGATTGGAAAAATAATTGCTTTAACCCGATTCCTTCCAGCTTCAGCACAAAAATCGTTACCAATGTTTAAACTGTTGCGAAAGCAGACAGATTTTAATTGGACTCCAGAGTGCGAAGCAGGGTTTACAGCCATCAAATAACTTTTGGCTAAACCTCCAGTCTTAGTGAAACCTCAACCAAATGAACCTTTGGTTTTATACCTCTCAGTCAGCAACGAGGCCATTAGCGCCGTCTTATTGCACAAGGATTCCCAAGATCAACAACCAATCTACTTTGTCAGCAAAGCCCTCTAAGGACCAGAGTTGCGCTACCAATAGATAGAAAAGTGGCTTTTGCACTTATTCTAACATCGCGATGTTTGTGACATTACTTCCAGGGGCACACCATCAAGGTTCGAACGAATCAGCCCCTTCGACAAGTTCTACAGCAACCTGATCTGGCCGGACGGATGATTTCTTTGTCTATAGTATTATCTGAATACGATATCAGTTACGAACCGCGCCAGACAATCAAAGCTCAGGTGTTAGCTGATTTCCTCGTTGAAATGACACACTTACAATAGGATAGGGCGAACGAAGATTGGACTATTTTCGTTGATGGCTCTTCCAATGTTAAAGGAAGTGGCGCAGGAATTATTGTGGAAAGCCCTCAAGGCATAACAGTGGAACATTCAATCCACTTTGGGTTCAAAGCTTCTAACAACCAAGCTGAATATGAAGCAATCATCGCTGGACTCGCAATGGCAAAAGACTTGGGGGCAACAAGAGTAATCCTCAAAAGTGATTCGCAACTAATAGTTGCGCAGGTACAAGGGACTTACCAGGCAAAAGAGGCCTTAATGGTAAAATATCTTGAAAACATATGATTACTGTTAGTAGATTTTGTAAGTTTCAAAATAGATCACATCCCCAGAGAACAAAATTCTCGAGCAGATATTTTATCCAAATTAGGCAGCACAAAGGGACCAGGAAACAATAGATCAGTCATCCAACAAAGTGTTTCCAATCCTAGCATCGTAATGGTCGTAACTAAACAAAAAACTCGTCCATCTCAGAGTGCGCGGTCCATGATCGATGATGATGATGCGATACAACCATATGGTGAAGAAACTTGAATGACACCAATTTGGAACTACTTGACTTGAGGAGTGACACCACCAGAATCGCGCGTGGCAAGGAAACTAGCGCGCAAGGCTTCATTCTATACTGTCATCAATAACCAGCTGTATAAGAAATGATTCTCTTCTCCAATGCTTAAATGTCTAAATCCCCAACAAGCTCAATATGTGATCTCTGAAGTTCATGAAGGGATTGGCGGACACCACATGGGAGGCAAATCCTTATCCAGAAAGCTGCTTTGAGTAGGCTATTTTTGGCCCACTGTGGAAGAAGATTCTAAACAACACGTGCGACATTGTGTCAAATGTCAAGAGCACGAAGATTTTCATCATGCTCCCTCGGATGAGTTATCTTCAATGATATCCCCTTGGCCATTCTACCAATGGGGCATGGATATATTAGGACCATTCCCGATGGCAGTCGGAGGAGTGAAATGGTTACTAGTGGCGATAGACTATTTCTCCAAATGGATCGAGGCAGAAGCTTTAGCCACAATATCAGCCAATAAAATTCGCCGATTCTTTTATCGAAAAACCATATGTAGATTTGGCATCCCTCATACCATTATAACTGATAATGGTACTCAGTTTGCGGATAAAAAATTCAATCAAATACTTCAAGATTTGCATATCAAACACAGATACATCTCTGTTGAACATCCACAAACGAACGGGTTGGCAGAAGCTGCAAACAGAGTCTTAAAACGAGGATTGGAAAGAAGATTAGAAGCAGCTAAAGGAGTTTGGCTTGAACAATTGGACTATGTATTATGGGTTTACAGAACTACCCCACATTCTACTACTAGGGAAACCCCGTTCCGAATGGTTTATGGTAGTGAAGCCATGATTCCAGTTGAAATCGAAGAACTGTCATGGAGAAAGATGTACACAAATGAAGAAAGCAATTCGCAGGAATTACTACATAACTTAGATGCAATTAGTGAAATGCGCAAAATTGCCCACGTCAAGGAGGCGGCATTAAAGCAAAGAATCGTAGCGCACTATAACTTAAGAGTTATTAAACGAAGTTTCGACGTAGGAGACTTAGTCGTACGAAGAGCAGACATAGGACATAAAAATGCGCGACAAGGTAAATTAGCCGCAAATTGGGAAGGTCCGTATCGTATCCAGAGAAAAACTGAGAATGGTGTTTACGTCATTGAAACATTATCCGGACTTACCATTCCGCGCACATGGAACGCGGATAAGCTTAAGAAAGTTTTTAGTTAAACCTTTTTTTTTTGGGGAATATTTGTCTTTCCTATTTATCAAATAAAGATTGTGGATTTCTACATTATTGTTATATTCATTGCTCACATTCATACATGATTAATATATTCATCGTGCATAAAGAAAAAAAGGGATACATTCAAACTTCCTCCAGAATAAAGCGCGATGCAGCAAAGCACGATGAAGATCATAAAGGAAGATAATAAAACTTCCTCCAAACGAAAAGATCCTCTAAAAGGACCCTCCAAATAAAAGGATCCTCCAAATAAAATGATCCTCCAAAAGGACCCTCCAAACAAAAGGATCCTCCAAATAAAAGGAAGATAATAAAACTTCCTCCAAGCTACGACGCAATGAAGAATATGTAAGGAAGATAAAGCCTTAACTGCTTAAAATCTCCTCCAAACTACATCACGATGAAGATCACGAAAGGAAGCAATGACTTCCAAACACGCACACAAGTTCCATGATAAAGTACAAAGGAGAAACCCCAATATCGTCAAGAAGTGAAGAAAGACGAGGAAGGTAATACTCTTCCAAAGTTATCAACTTGGTAAGGTACGCTGAAAGTATTTTTTATCTGGCGCGATGGCCATTCCGGCTTATAAAATTAACAATTAAAGCCATTACGGCTTACACGAAATTAACAATTCGATTATCAACAGACTACCATTGTTCCATACAAATTGGGGCCAGTCCCCTTACAAACCAAAATCCAAAAAAGAACATCAATGAAAATCAGATTGTCTGAATAGACATATCCTGAGGATCTTCGATCACTTCTGCGCGATCCTCACCCTCAGTAATTGGCTCTTGAGGGGTTGGCTCTTGAATAGACGGTGTGATGGTCTCTGTATCCATTAAGCTAATTAGATCTACTAGAACTTCTTCATCTTTGTGATTTAAAGTCATTAACTGACCATTCTTAACATAATAAAGATAATGGGCGTTGTCCAGCTTAACCGACGGGTTGAAGAGACGCACTTGCTTAATAATGTTAGTATAGGTCCCTTCAGCTTCCGCCTCAAAGGGGTCTTGAAACTTCTTGACTTTGTCATTCAGCTGGGCTTCCTTCTCTTTCCATGCATCGGCATTTTCCTCCAACTCCAAGACGCGCCTGTTTAAATCAATCTTCTCTAACTTTAATTCTTTATTTTCCGCCTTCGCCTCTTTCAACTATTGATTCACCGTCGCCATCTCATCCTCATACTTCTTTAATTTTTCTTCAAATCCTGTGCGTTGTTGAACGATCTCACCCTTTAATTCATCAATGCGTTCCTTCAAGAAATCAACAGAGCCTGCTACATAGAATATGTTATATCTAAAAGATTGATGTCACATTTAAAATGAACAAAGCGACAAATAGTTACTTACCAGGCACGAACATAATGAACTGATTCGCTATACTCAGTTTCGCAGAGGTCCCCAGCCATTTCTCCCTTGATAACGCTTCAATGCGCGGACCTATTTCTCTACCTTTGGCAAACATGTCTTTATCGAAATCCCAACCATCCCCAAAATAAATCAAGTCTGGGAAACCCACGTTAACCTCATCAAATTTCCTCTTTTGTCCCTTTGAGGCACTTTCTACCTCTTTTTCAGGGGGGACGACATTCACGGGGGAAGCTACAGGACCTGGTGATTTCATTGGTGATTTCAGTCGCGTAGTGTCACCCTCGCTTGAATCAGCACCAGTGGTGGTAGCAGACATGGAAGGCTTAGTAGGCATAGAAGGGCCGGCATCTGCAGTATCGCGCATGACCGCTATTTTCTCCAACCTACTCAAAGAAGTCGCCATTGAACTATCTGCAACAAATCAAAAATAGTTCGCGTTAGATATATACAAATCCAAAAAACAGAATAAATAAAATTCTTTATGCTGAAATAAATAACAAATAAAGGTCAAATATTACCCAAAAAAGCTCGAATATCGTCATCAGTATATTCATTCAAAATTGTATATGTGCTCAAATAGCCCGTATCTGAAGCCTCACGCGTAATATTACTTAGAGTGATCATAGTCTGCTGTTCCAGATCACTTAAATCATCAAAATTATAGATCAAATTTTTACCCTCTAACGGATGCTCAGTCCAATACAAAGGGAAGACGGGAGTGTTATCTTCCCCCAAGAAAAATGGGGTGGCACCTTCAGCAGGATAAATTTTGAAGTATTATGTGATCCACTTGTAAATTTTCCTTTGGTATGATTCACAGAACTTAACCTTACTCTTAAAGGAAACCCAGCTCGAGTGTGGTCCCATCACGCTAAACATATATAAAAATGACTCTGGAGATTGAAAAAGATTGTAGGCCTTGCAGACCATATCGTAAACCCTGATAAAACCCCAGGCATTTGGGGTCAAATGTTAGGGCGCCACGTTAAGATGCGCCAGCAACTTACAAACAAAAGATGAAAAGGGAAGACGAACTCCTAAAGATAAGAAATAATAGGCATACATCATAATGAAGTGCTTGGTGGACCCTTCTGCGCGCGATGAACAAATGCGCTCGTTTAACGGGACGACAACAATTTCCCACTGATCATCAAAAGCTTTGTCAGGGGTAATGTGGATGGCAACTGTTACTTGCGCTAATTCTTCCGGAGAGCAGTATATGGAAGCAGTATCCAGTACCGTGTCTGCTACCCAACTCAGGGATTCTTCATCCTGCAGATTACGTTGAGCTCGGGACTCTCCTTCAGGATCAATATGTAATACTTTCTTCTTGGTATCAGGATTCAGCTTCTGCTTCTTCTTCTCACCAGCACCGCATCTCGCCATAATATCCTTGATTTGAGGGAAAACAAAATCTAATTCAGAAAAAGAATCAGTAGAAGAAGACGAGTCAGAGGAAGCAGAGACAACAAATGTAGATTTATAATTATCAAAATTCTTTTTCTTAAAAGGATACCCTGCCGGGTATATTACATTTAAAGGTAAGGGACTTGAACTCTTCTGACCGCAAGAATCTTACGCGATGGGAGATGAAGTATCGCGCGATGAATTTGAAGAGGACGATCTAGGGTTTACTGTATTTATAGACCTATGACTACATTCAGAACTCGAAGACGAATCACTCGAAATTAAAATAGGACCAGTTATTCTAAAAGAAATCTTTGGGAACAAAGATGAACTCTGTTGGGAAAGAGTTTACGGGTTTTCCCGATTGAGTGGTCGCGAGGTTGAACCACGTTCAAACCGTCGAACAGGAGGTAAACAGCTATCATTTACAGAAATGTTAGAACATGGAGCGGCACACTTGTCAGTAAGCCACGCTTCCCTAGTTCCTAATGACCTTGACCTAGGTAATGATCTAGAGGGAGGACTGAATGAGCCAGACCGTTCGGACAATCTGATAAAATTCACAAATTTGCGATTATCAGACATATCCCAAACACAAAATAGAAATATGAAATAGATGAGGCAATAAAACAGGATTAAGAATATACCTGAGATTTATACTTCAGATAAACCAACCACGAGCAACACCGGAAATGTAGAAGAAATAAACAAGCACT